TGAGAACTTAAATACAAGGAGCTCTAAAAGATTTTCAGAATTTTTACATCTTTTACTCTTTTGATTTAGACCATCTACAAATGTTAAATCTACAAATAAAATGTTAAGGTTACCTCTGCATCTGTCTGAAACAAATAATGCAGTGGTTGATTTAATAGTTGATTTATAGTTATTTTCAAAGCTTTCAATGTACTCTCATTATAAAATAACTTCATTATTGCTTATTTAATCCTAACAAGTAAGTTTTTGTTAGAAACTAACCAATCAAAAAGTTTTTATTAGAAACTAACCAATCAAAAATAATTTGTCTATAATCTTTGCACAGGAGAGACTTGGTGTTGTTTCCAAACAAAAGGAAATATAACGGTATCGGCATCGGCTATCGGCCAAAATGTGTTGAAAAATATCGGCATATCGGATATCGGCAAAAATCCAATATCGTGCATCCCTAGCAGGAAGACACATGCAGAGACTGTAACACATTCAGTAGGACACACATTCACACTCATGGTTACACTGTACTCACAGGATGTCCAAAACAACATACATTATACTTTCCTTCTCAAAACAGTTGCACATTTGAACAGTGCATTTCATGTAGCTATAGCACACACAAGCTTAGGGTTGCCAGTTCCAATTATAACAACTGAAACACTTTTTCCAGGAGCATTTGACTAGCTATCCTTGTAACAAGGAGTGTGCTTCATTGTATTTAATGTGCACTTGTAGTGTACTTCAAATTCCTAAACGTAAATTTTAATAAAAAGCTGTACTTACAGATAATGTCAATGAAATAAAAGGCCACCTAAGTGTTCACTTGCATTTTCACTGCGTTTCAGAAACGATCTCCGTCCACTCTACACAACCCAAAACGCAGGTCACATGACCGTTCATGCAGGTACAATCATAGATATGTATGTATATCTATGGGTACAATGAGCATGATGTCATTGTTTACACGGTCGTCAAGGATACGCAGAGCGAATGTGGCCAGCTATCGTTTTCAAAAGTCTCCGTTTTGGTCCGTTTACACCGAAACGCAACCCCGGAGTTTTCAAACTAAAACGGGGTCTGCAGCGTTTTCGAAAGTCTCCGTTTTCAAGGGTCGAAAACGACGGGGTAGTGTAAACGACAGTCGTAACCGTAGCAAAAGTTATGCGTTTTAAAACGAAAACACACACGTTAGTGTAAACGTAGCCTTATAAATCTGTCTGGAACTCATGAGGTATTGGTTTATGTATGCCACAATTTGTGTTAAGTAGGATTTAAATGGTCTGAAACAAATAATGCAGTGGTTGATTTAATAGTTGATTTATAGTTATTTTCAAAGCTTTCAATGTACTCTCATTATAAAATAACTTCATTATTGCTTATTTAATCCTAACAAGTAAGTTTTTGTTAGAAACTAACCAATCAAAAAGTTTTTATTAGAAACTAACCAATCAAAAATAATTTGTCTATAATCTTTGCACAGGAGAGACTTGGTGTTGTTTCCAAACAAAAGGAAATATAACGGTATCGGCATCGGCTATCGGCCAAAATGTGTTGAAAAATATCGGCATATCGGATATCGGCAAAAATCCAATATCGTGCATCCCTAGCAGGAACACACATGCAGAGACTGTAACACATTCAGTAGGACACACATTCACACTCATGGTTACACTGTACTCACAGGATGTCCAAAACAACATACATTATACTTTCCTTCTCAAAACAGTTGCACATTTGAACAGTGCATTTCATGTAGCTATAGCACACACAAGCTTAGGGTTGCCAGTTCCAATTATAACAACTGAAACACTTCTTCCAGGAGCACTTGACTAACTATCCTTGTAACAAGAAGTATGCTTCAATGTATGTGCACTTGTTGTGTACTTCAAATTCCTAAATGTATATTTAAATAAAAAACTGTACTTACAGATAATATCAATTAAATAAAAGGCCACATAAGTGTACTTAAAGACAGCACACTTTCATGACCGTTTGTTAAAATACTTAAGTAAACATTTAAGTAATAATGTCTAACTATGACTAACATACTAAAGCACATGTAAAGTACTTGATTATAATTTTAATTGTAGTTTTCGAAAGTCTCCGTTTTCAAGGGTCGAAAACGACGGGGTAGTGTAAACGACAGTCGTAACCGTAGCAAAAGTTATGCGTTTTAAAACGAAAACACACACGTTAGTGTAAACGTAGCCTTATAAATCTGTCTGGAACTCATGAGGTATTGGTTTATGTATGCCACAATTTGTGTTAAGTAGGATTTAAATGAGTGTAAACTGATTTTCATGTGGATGTGTCAGTTAAAGATACAATTTGTAACAAAGTTTTGTTGAAATAAATGAAATTTTAATTTGAAAAAAGAAAGAAACAATAAAATATTCTACTAAACTGTCATTGTTTTTGTTTAATATGTAAATTGGGGCACAAGTCTGCTAAAATGTTGATGGAATCTTTAAGTTTAAATGGAACCAGAACCAGAATCGTTACATTTCTTGTGATTCCCAACCCTAGTGAAGCCTGTAACTCAAGGACTGTCATACGGTCCATAGAGCATTGCTTAATGACACTGACAGGGCGAAAAACATAATGAGCCCTGCTCAATGCTCACTGGACAGTTTCGCTGATCAATGACCATCCAGTTTCCAACCCCTAGTGTCATTCACAACCCGTGCTTTTTATTGCTGTGGCCATATGAACTTCCTGACATTGAGACGAGACGCGCTGCTTGATTTGTCAATAAAAAGACAGAAAAGGTCAATGAGCTGGAAGGAAAAAAAGCATACATAAGGAAAACGGCTGATTCACATAAAGATTGCGTTTTTAAATAGTCTGTAGCTGGAAATGTCAAAATAAAATGAACATTAGTTATTTAATATTCAAGAAGTAACATTTGGCTTTACAATGATTTATCTGGGTGAAGTTTTTTAAAGTTCTTTATATATATATATATTCGGCAAAAATCCAATATCGTGCATCCCTAGCAGGAAGACACATGCAGAGACTGTAACACATTCAGTAGGACACACATTCACACTCATGGTTACACTGTACTCACAGGATGTCCAAAACAACATAACATTATACTTTCCTCCTCAAAGCAATTGCACATGTGTACAGTGCATCTCATGTACAGCACAAGCCTAGGGTTGCCAGTTCCAATTATAACAACTGAAACACTTTTTCCAGGAGCATTTGACTAGCTATCCTTGTAACAAGGAGTGTGCTTCATTGTATTTAATGTGCACTTGTAGTGTACTTCAAATTCCTAAACGTAAATTGTAATAAAAAGCTGTACTTACAGATAATGTCAATGAAATAAAAGGCCACCTAAGTGTTCTTAAAGAGAGTACACATTCATGACTGTTTCTTAAAATACTTTTAAGAAATAACGTCAAATTAAAAGTTTTACTTGAAATTGCATTTTAAATCTTTGTATTTTAATAATCTTTTGTTGTGCTTTGAGGTACACTTATTTTGATGTACTGACTAACATACAAAAGCACATGTGAAGTACTTGATTATAATTTTACCTGTAGTGATTTATTTGATATTACATTTAAAGTTAATATACTTTAATTGCACTAAATTGCAATTTCATCATTACAAATGTGTAATTACAAATATATTTAAATACATTACATGCAAGTTTCAGTATAAATGACATTAAAGTATATTTTAGTTTACTGTAAATGTTTGTCAGTACATTTGGCAGCACACTTTAACCAAAAGTGTGTCAAAAAAAACAAACAAAAAAAAACAACAACACATTTTCATTTAATTTTAACATTCCGTTAAGTGTCCAAAAACATTACATTCAGTACACTGTAAAAAAAAATCCGTAAAATTTACGGTAAAAAACCGGCAGGGTGAAGTTTTTTAAAGTTCTTTATATATATATATAAGTAATTGATATCACCAAGCCCTGTTAAATGTATTTAATTTTAAATAAATTTTACAATTGTATATCATAATGGTAGCTAAATAGGTTGAATACAGTGTTACAATAAATGTTTTCAATAATTGCCTCATATTTTGTAATCGTTGCATCAGTGATTGCGACATAAAGTCTTTAGTGAACTGAAACCATGACCACAGAGCCAATATACAAAGTGAACTGTAAGAAATTTGAAATCTTTACACTGCTTATGACCTCTGTGTCATCATGTTTCTAATTCTCATTTCCTTCACAATTTGTGTTTCAGGTGAAAGCGCTCAATAGTTTGGCTGCACAAGGATTCACTGGTCATGCTGTGCTTTGGAGGGGCGAGAAAAGACACTAAATAAGAAAGGACGAGAGAGTCGAGAGAGAGAGGAGAAGGTAGACAGCAGCCGCTATCATGTCTCGTCATCAAAGCCGAGCCACCAGCCTGGAGGAGAAGGGAGCCACACCCATCCACAAGAGCTCCACCCCCTCACACAAGAGCTCCACCCCCACTCACAAGAGCGCATCCTCTTCCTCTTCATCTCAGAGAGACAGTCGACAGGTACAACTGACTTACTTTTGAAACAGAGAAAGGGAAAAGTTGTGGTTGTGCGACAGTGACCGCACACATTTTCAGAGTGGTTCAAGAAATATTTTTGGTAACACTTTATTTTAAGGACCAATTCCCACTATTGTTGCTTATTAGCGTGCATATTACTAGCATATTGGCTGTTTATTAGTACTTATAAAGCATACACTAATGCTTATTCTGCATGACCATATTTTAGATCCCTGACTCCACCTAAACTTAACAACTACCTACCTAACTAACCATTAATAAGCAGCCAATTAGGAGTTTGTTCAGGGAAAACTCTTAGTTAATAGTGAATATGTGTTCATTCTGTTGTGTTACCATATTTTTCCTATTATTTTTGTCCATGAGGATTAAAAAAAAACTCATCAAAGAAGAGTTCTAAGCTGTGAAATCAAACCAACAAGATCCAAGAGGAATCAAGTCATACAAAACTTCATCGCTTTCAAGTGGGAATGAACTATTCGGTTAGGGACTGCAAATCTGCAAAATAGTTTGATTCACACTGATATATAGTGATTGATTGGATTTAGAAGCATAAAAACATCATTAAAAACAACAATAATAATATTAATAAAAAATAATAATTTGATTGCAGTATGTAGATAGATAGATAGATAGATAGGCAGACAGATAGATAGATAGATGGGACTTTACAGGAAAATGCAAAATAATAAGTTTTAATTGCAAATTGATGAGTGTGTGCAGCTTGTACATTGTGAAGTCATGTGACAGAAATAAATCTGTTGCATAATGTGTTATGTGTAGTATTTGTATTAGGTGTATACAGTACTGTTAAGTATGCAATAAGCAGTAGGTTAGTGCTCCAATCAGTTTCAGGACCATATGTGACCCTGGACCACAAAACCAGTCATAAGTGTCAATTTTTCGAAATTGAGATGTGTACATCATCTGAAAGCTGAATAAATAAGCTTTCCATTGATGTATGGTTTGTTAGGATAGGAAGACAATATTTGGCCGAGATACAAATTTGAAACTATTTGAAAATCTGGAATCTGAGGGTGCAAAAAAATCAAAATATTGAGAAAATCGCCTTTAAAGTTGTCCAAATGAAGTTCTTAGCAATGCATATTACTAATCAAAAATTCAGTTCTAATATATTTACAGTATGAAATTTACAAAATATCTTAATGGAACATGATCATTACTTAATATCCCAATGATACAATTCATATGGTTTTGTCTTAGACTAAAAACTAACAGCACACATTGTAGTTGCAGTGTTATATCTTAAATGTTCCATGTTATGGACCTCATAACCAGTCATAAGGGTCATTTTTTCAAATTGAGATTTATACATCATCTGAATAAATAAGCTTTCCATTGATGTATGATTTGCTATGACAGGACAATATTTGGTCGAGATACTATTTGAAAATCTGGAATCTGAGGGTGCTAAAAAATCTAAATATTGAGAAAATCTCCTTTAAAGTTGTCCAAATGAAGTTCTTATCAATGCATATTACTAATCAAAAATTAAGTTATGATATATTTATTTACGGTAGGAAATTTACAAAATATCTTCATGGAACATGATCTTTACTTAATATCCTAATGATTTTTGGCATAAAAGAAAAATCTATAATTTTGACCCATACAATGTATTTTTGGCTATTGCTACAAATATACCCCAGCGACTTAAGACTGGTTTTGTGCTCCAGGGTCACATATGACGTGCAGTGCAGAGACTGAGTGATGGCCACATTCCTCTAAGCTGACCTGGTTGATCAAAGCAAGGCATAATAATAAAGTCTGATCCACAGCCAATTACAGCTAAGAACTGCCCACTTAGGCAGGAAGGGACTGCTGGGCATGTGCAACACCCATCCACAGTTGTTACTTACGAGGCGAGGCAGCTAAATCAATGAAATTACTATAATAGACTGACATTCAACAAAGTGGGAGCTTATTCAAATAATGACACAGCACTCTCCACAAACAGTGGACACGCTACTGAAGAAATTAATACATATTTCTGTATAGACTTTGTGGTTTCTTTCTATCCAAGTAGGGATTATCTCACATATCTTACAGCCAATAAAGTGAAGTGTGTACATACATTGTTTTTGTTTTGTTTTGTTTTAATTAATAGTTTTTGCCCTAAAGAAATGAATTGTACTTATGTACTGACATGTTTATGATGATGATGATGATGCCATGTCAGTAGCCTAATAAGAGCTAGCCAACATCTTGAAATCACATAACCAGCTGAATAATACATAATTTATCTATCTTACTCCCCTGTTATCCAGTGTTTTTGCTAACAGAATACAATATTTAATAATTAGTTTTGAATTGATAGAAAGACTGGCAGCTACAAAATGTAACCCAGCTCATGTGAGAGAGCTTCACTCGCACTGACCGATCAATGCAGATGAATACTGATTAATACACTTCAGCAAGAGGGCAAATTAACCTCACCTCTCTGTCAGCTGTTACCATGGTGACAGTGGGAACAGAATGTTTAGTTGTCATTAACATAAACTAATTAGCCATCACCATTCTAATTCGTACTTGAAGTTCTTTTAAGTAAACTGAAGGGAAGTTCAAGCATATTTTTCTAAGTGTACTTTATGTATACAAAAATCAGTGTATAAATCAAGTGTACAAGTGCAAGTATACTTATAAGTTTTCTGTAAGGGAACTTATCATCATTTTTTACAGTTTACTATTTATATATTTGCAAGTATATTGCTAGGTTTCTATTTTAGTATTACTTTTTATACTTGGAAAAAAACTTTTAACTGTACTGTACTTTAAGCAGACAGTTTCCTCCTGTGTACACTACCAGTGGATTTATGCCACTTATTTATGTATTGCATATAGGGACTTGCTTTTACGGGTATAACGGACCGAAGTTGATCCGTGATCCATAAGGACCAAGCCCCACAGTTCGGCACGCATGTGGATTAGTTGCAAAGTTTAACCATCATAGAGTGAAAGTTTATTGTTTGCATATGCTTCTAAGTTTCTTTCACGTTCCCTTGCGCTTGAATGGAGACATACACAAAAATAGTTTTGACAAGTATTCACGTGAGCACAATTGGTAAAGTGAATGTAAACAGACAAAAATTGGATGTGTATTGTAATATTGGATCCAAACGCAACTGAAAATCCGTAATATGATTCCATACATGAGGTATGTGATCTGTTGCATCCCTAGCCTGCATTTTGGTTTTTTGCATTTTGTTCTTTTGAATGTCATTGTTAAAGACATAAATGAGAATTGTTTAGTTGATTCAAGTATTGTGCAGAATAAAGCCTAATCAATAGTAAGAGGATGAGAAAATAACAGGAAGAAATGCCTTTGTTTATGCCAAAATGCTGATTATATGTATAAAGGAATATTCCAATAACTGGAATTTGAATAATCAGAATCAGAATCAGAATGCCTTTGTTTATGCCAAAATGCTGATTATATGTATAAAGGAATATTCCAATAACTGGAATTTGAATAATCAGAATCAGAATCAGAATAAAGGCTAAACCAGAATATGCAACTTATTCTGAATGTGTTGTGCATGTAAACATTATTAAATGGGCAAGCAGCACTCATGTTATCATCTAAAAGTGTGTCAATCTATTTATAGGAATAGTTCTCTCCCATCGCTCTGTAGAGCCTCACTGATGTTTCTAATGAGTTTGGTATTTTGATCAGTTGGTGAAAGTAGCCGTAAACACTTTCAAACTAAAATCTTTTTTTGCTGCAGCATTTTTTCCCCCCCCCACAAAAACTAATGTGGCTGCTACAACACTTCATTGTGTATATTAATTTATTCATATTCATACTGTTTTCATCTTAATTTTTTCCCTTTTTAGGAGATGGATAGTTGGGAAATCATCGAGGGGCTAAGGATTGGGCAAACTCATGTCCAGAGGCCAGAGAAACATGAAGGTTTTATGCTGAAGAAGAGGAAATGGCCTCTAAAGGGCTGGCACAAGGTTGGAAATGACTTCCACCAGCTGGTTTCCACTGGTCAGGCTGGTTTCAGAGCTGTTTTTGGAGCTTGACAGCTGGTCAGATTACAAGACCAGATAAACCAGCTGAAAACCAGCTTTGCCAGGCTAGGAGACCAGCTTAAAGGCCAACAATCTTATTTTGTTTATTCTGGGTGTTAATAAACAATGTTTTACTTATATTTCATGCTTTATTCCTTACAATATATATTTACAGTAAATATTACTTAGATTAATAGAGTTTTTTTTTCTCTTGTCTTCTACACAGCGATTTTTCGTTTTAGACAACGGGATCCTGAAGTACTCCAAATCTCCTGTAGATGTGAGTTTCTTTTAAAGGGCTTCCTGTAGAGTGCTTGCAGCGCTGCTCTGTGAATAATAAGGACGAGTTGAGTATTTTGGTCAGAGAGAGACGGTGAGCCGTGATTGGCTGGCTGCTCTCGCTGTAGCGTGACTCAGATGAGCTCAGACTCAGCAGCAGAAACATCACTAAGCACTGATGCAACAAGGACAGAGTGAATGTGTGTGTGGAAACACACCTTTTACTTAGAAATGCACATTAAAGAGATAGTTCACCCAAAAAGGAACATTCTGTCTTCATTTATTCACCCTCAAGTTGTTCCAAACCTGTATGAGGTTTTTTTTTCTGCTGAACAAAAGATATTTTGAAGAAAGTTGTTGGTCCCCATTGACTTCCATAGTATTTTTTTTCCATGCTATGAAAGTCAGTGAGGACCAGCAACTGTTTGGTTTCCAACATTCTTCAAAATATCTTCTTTTGTGTTCAGCAGAAGAAAAAAGCTCATTGAGCAGAACATGAGGATTAAATGATATTGTGTGTGTGTTTGTTTCAGATTCAGAAAGGAAAGCTTCACGGCAGTATAGATGTGGGTCTGTCTGTGATGTCCATCAAGAAAAGAGCTCGCCGCATAGATCTGGACACAGAAGAACACATTTACCATCTGAAGGTCTGTGATTTGCTTGATCTGTATGTGCATTCATTGAAATAATGTGGAGAGAAGCAACGTTTCTTCAGCTTCAGGCACTTTTATGTCTCAGGGTTTTATTTTTATTTTAAAATTGTTGTTATGTAAAGGTCACATTAAATCTGTCTTGGAAACTGTTTTCATTTATTTTTGATGCTGTGAACTGGCTGTCTCCTTACTCTGTCTCTGTCTATCTCTTTCTCCTTCAAGGTGAAGTCTCCAGATGTTTTTGACATCTGGGTGTGCAAGCTGCGTCACCATCGTTTGTTCCGTCAGAACGAGATTGTTCGCTCTCCTCGTGATGCTTCATTACGGACCTTCCCTCCGTCTGCCAGCTCAGAGTCACCCCAGAACACCCCTTCCAGCGCACACAAAAACAAGGTAATTCTTGTCTTCTGTTTGTGTGTTTATGTTTTTGTCTGTAGTAATTATAAAGTAATTAAAAGTCAGCATGAAATCAAGTTTGACCCTGTTTATTTTTTATGCTTTTTAAAAATTTATTTTCCTTTCTTATTGCACACAATTTATTCATATTAAGTTCTAGCTCCATTCTGGCATGTAACAGCCATTTTTCACCCTCCAGTTCCCAATGGAAGCATTATGGGTGGCAAATGCAGTTTCATGTTGACTATAACAACAATATAAATCAACGTCAAGCTTCATTCAGACAGCTGTGTAAACACGTGTGTGTGTATGTGCCCTTTCAGCAGGGTAAACCCAGTAGTCTTTCCTGGCAGCTGCCGCCATCCTGTAGTAATGGACAGAGTAAAGTGGCAGCCTGGTTACAGGAGTCGGAGGAGATGGACAAGTGTGCAGAAGGTAACACACAATTCATTTGTAATAATTAAGATTTTATTTTATAGGTCACAAAACCTGTCAAGAAGATATCAGTGCCACATTTTACCACAAAAACAAAGTAAATAAAAAAAATAAATGAATAATAATAATTATATATATAAACACACTACCAGTCAAAAGTTTTTGAACAGTAAGATTTTTAATGTTTTTTAAAGAATTCTCTTCTGCTCACCAAGCCTGCATTTATTTGATCCAAAATACAGCAAAAGCAGTAATATTGTGAAATATTTTTACTATTTGAATATATTTTAAATTGTAATTTATTCCTGTGATGTAAAGCTGAATTTTCAGCATCATTACTCCAGTCTTCAGAGTCACATGATCCTTCAGAAATCATTCAAATATTCTGATTTCAAACCTGCAGTAGAACTCGTTCAGATCGTCTGCCAGTTGTTGATTCTCCACAGTGCTGGGGGATGGTGTCTTGTAATTGGTGATTTCTTTTAGACTTTTCCACACTGATGCCGAGTCGCTGGAAGTGAACTGAGTCCTTATTTTTTCCGAATAATTCCTCTTTGCCACTCTGATCTTCTTTTCCAGTGTGTATTTAGCCTGTTTATACAAGACATTATTCCCCTTCCTGTGAGCATCTTCTTTGGCCTGACGGAGCTGTCTGAGTTTTGCAGTGAACCATGGTTTGTCATTGTTGTAAGTTAAATGAGTCCTGGTAGGAATGCACATGTCTTCACAGAAACTGATATAAGATGTTACAGTCTCTGTGAGCTCGTCCAGATCGGTGGCAGCAGCTTCAAAGACGCTCCAATCAGTGAGGTCAAAACAAGCTTGTAAATCCTGCTCTGCTTCATTAGTCCATCTTTTTACAGTCCTTAATACAGGTTTAGCTGATTTCAGTTTCTGCCTGTAGGTCGGTATTAGATGAACTAAACAGTGATCAGAGAGCCCCAAAGCTGCTCGTGGAACAGAGTGATATGCATTCTTTATTGTGGTGTAACAGTGATCCAATATATTACTGTCTCTGGTGGGACATGTGATGTGCTGTCTGTATTTTGGCAGTTCACGGGAGAGATTTGCTTTATTAAAGTCCCTGAGAATGATTAAAACAGAGTCCGGGTGTTGTTGTTCTGTCTCTGTGATCAGATCTGCGAGTTTCTGTAAAGCTGAGCTCACGTGCGCTTGCGGAGGAATGTAAATACTGACGAGAATGTACGAGCAAAACTCCCCGCGGCAAGTAGAATGGCTTACAGTTAATGAAGAGCACTTCTAGATCTGAACAGCACATCTTCTTTAACACAGTTACATCTGTACACCACCTCTCATTGATGTAAAAGCATGTCCCGTCGCCGCGTGATTTCCCCGTTGATTCTGCGTCGCGATCTGCTCTAAACAGCTGAAAGCCCGGCAGACTCAACGCGCTGTCCGGAATGGCGTCTTTCAGCCAGGTTTCTGTGAAACACAGAGCAGCAGAGTTTGAAAAATCCTTATTTGTCCGGGAGAGCAGAAGGAGTTCGTCCGTTTTGTTGGGTAGAGAGCGGAGATTTGCCAGATGGATGCTTGGCAACGGCGTTCTGAATCCGCGCTGTCTGAGCTTGACGAGCACGCCGCCTCGCTACCCTCGTCTGCGCGTCTTGAAGCGCTTGATCAGCGCCGCAGCTCCCCCGACTACAATGTCCAGCAAAACATCAGAATAATCTAAAACCGGTGAAATATCGGGTGGTGTGTACTGCCGAATGTCTAGCAATTCGTCTCTGGTGAAACTGATTGCAGGGATATAACTAAAGACAGGACAAACTAACAAAAACATAAAAACAACTGCGGAGCACGCCATGGAGGCAGCCATCACCGTCGGCGCCATCTTCACATGATCCTTCAGAAATCATACTAATATGCTGATTTGATGCTCAAGAAACATTTATTATTATTAATAACATTTAAAACAGTTGAGTACATTTTTTTCAGGATTCTTTGATGAATAGAAAGATCCAAAGATCAGCATTTATCTGAAATAAAAAACTTTTGTAACATTATACACTATCCCATTCATTCTATAATGATGCTGAAAAATCAGCTTTGATCACAGGAATGAATCACATTTTGTGTTTGTATTTCAGAACTTGCCTACTGCCAGTCTAGTCTTTTAGAATTGAGTCAACTGCTGCAAAGTCTGGAGATCTTACAAAGGACACAGTCAGCTCCCAACTTCATCGACATGAAGGTATATCCACACACACACACACACACACACACTCACACACGCGCACGCACGCACACGCACGCACACAAGCAGCAGTTTCTAGGTGTCTAGTATATTTGTACAGATTGTGTTGCAGACAGATTGTGTTTCTCTTTGGCTACGCTTACACTGCAAACCTAATTCACAGGTTCTGGCACCTCCTGTCTGTTTACATTCACATGTGTTTATATTAATATCCCGCCAGACAGTTTAGCATTGTGCGGGCCAAACTTTTCATTGAATTGTCAATGAAGTAAAAGAAATCGCTCGGCATAGCTATATTGGGAATTGGTTGAGAGTGTAATGCAGCTCTATAATATATACAGCAGCTTTACATAATTCAGACATCCCTAACCCTCAAACTAATTTCAACCCCTCCGACACTACAACATGATCTTCCTTCAATATTTTCACTGATGTCATTCTCAACACCTCTGCTTATGAAATAAAAACTCAGGCCACTCCTCATACATTTACAACATCTTATTTTCTGTTGTCACTGCCAATGGATTCAGTGCTTCAGTTTTCTGCTATTAACCCTCTCATCACTTTGATTTGCGTGTGTGTATGTGTCCATGTAATTTAGAGTAACTGTGTAGATTTGACAAAGAAAGAAAAGCGAGTCAGCAGAAGATGGAGGACTAAAAGTGTCAGCAAAGATGCAAAATTGCAACAGCAGGTACATCTTCACAACACCCACAATCAACACTGAGAGGAATTTACTACTAGCTATAAATTATTTATTGCACTGTCTGCATTATATTAGCATCTGATTCACTGAAATTACCACACAGAATTTGCCACACAGTCTCGATGCAGCAGCGACCGCAGCTGAGAGAGTTTAGTGTGTGTCAGTTTTCTTAACCTTCACGCACACACGCATAACCACTTACCCTCTGAACAACCTCATTATTGCAGTCCTTAACCTCAGCCATAGCATCAGAGGACATCGCCTGCTGCGGTCTAACTCTGAAGGCCTGACATTTGACTCGGTGGATTCATTATAAAATGTTTCTGGACCTTTAACAGCATATCGCCCATAGTTTAAAGGACTTTTTCCATTTATAATGGATCACTACAGACAAGAGAGTGCGAGTGAATGGGACTGGCCATTTCTGTTTTATTCCCTCATAAATGTTTTGTTGGAATGAGTCATTTATTTGGATCATTACAGTGGCTTGCGAAAGTTTGGGAACCCCTTGCAGAATCTGTGAAAATGTGAATAACAAAATAAGAGAGAATACTGTGTTCAAACATTCACTGATGCTCCAGAAGGAAACACGATGTATTAAGAACAGGATGAAGATGTCCACATTTTTCTTATTTTGTTGAAATATATATTTTTTTCCATTTAAGTACTGCCCTTCGGAAGCAACAGAAGATACTTGCATGTTTCCCGGAAGACAAATTAAGTACAATTTACCTTGATCTTCAAATTCAAAAAGTTTTCACCCCCCGGCTCTTAATGCATCATGTTTCCTTCTGGCGCATCAGTGAATGTTTGAACATTGAGTCCCTCAATTGTCCTCAGTGTGAAAAGATGGATCTCAAAATCATACAGTCACTCCTGGAAAGGGTTCAAATATGCAAAATGGAAAACTGAAGAATCTGCAGGACCTGGAGGATTTTTCTGAAGAACTGTGCTCAGATTAACTGTTCAGAACAAACAAGGGACTCATGAACAACCATCACAAAGCAAAAAAACAGTCGTGGATCATCCAGGTAACCACACACAGTTTTAAGAACCAAGGGTTCACACACTTTTGAATGGGGTTATTTTAATAAATTCTGCTATTTTTTTCTTGTGGACTAAATGTAAACATCTTTTATGTAAAATATCTTACTCAGGACAGTACTAAATAAAAAATAACATGCATTTTGTATGATCTCTCCTATTTTGATAAAATTATTCACATTTTCACAGATTCTGTAAGGGGTTCCCAAATTTTCGCATGCCACTGTAATTAAGAATGAACAAACACAACTCAGAGAACAAATGAAGGTTATATGTAAGATAAGACATTTGATACTAAAGTTGCATGTGTGAAATGATGTTGTTCAAAAGAATGTCTGCCCCGTAGACTTTCATCTTAAGTGCATTACTGTAAAACCAATTTTTGCTTGTTTTTAAACTGAGTGTCAAAACACTCAGTTACTTGACAGATCCACATATGCTGTTGATACACCTTACTTGTTTTCATTTCCTAATAAGGTCATCTGTAATGAATTGGAAAGGTTTTCTGTGGTGTTGACATGTTAATGGGGTGTGTGCATGAGTAACTCTTGAGATGTGAGATGTGTATCTGGCTCTTGTGTTCACCCCCAGGTCCAGTCACTTCCCCAGTCACACAGTGCTAATGTAAGCAGAACCTTCACTGTGATGTTATCTTGGTGTTACACCATGACATCACCATGCTGTAGTCTCTCAACCCCTTGCATGCACTGCTGCTTTACATTTTCTCTGCAAAACATGTCAGTGTGACCTTTTTAGAAATAACTTTAGGTTATTGTTGTAACCCAAGTTCACTGAGAGAGATGAGAGCAATATGGGACTTTGTAGACTATCATGGGACACACATCTGTATGGCAGTCCTTGAATCTCTATACCATCACACGTTTAGATTACTGGCCACGCTTCTTTCCACATAAACTACTGCACAGACTCAGCTCATTCAAGTCCAGCTCCTCTGTAAGCCGATGACAAGTGGTCCATTTAGTAAGGTCTTCCTTAGTGAACTGGGGTTACAATTGTAACCAGTAGTTCTCTTTTAGGCCACTCGCTTGACATCTCACTGTCGGATATGGCAAACTCCCATTTGTTATGATCTTAAAATAAGGCCAACTGCACATGTCCAACCCACAAAAAGATATAATGTGTAAAAGCCTTTCTTTTTAGGGTGAACTATCCCTTCTCTTCTAGATCCTGCCTCTGGCTTTATTAAGTCATAGGCTATACAATTTCACCAACATGTAAAGGGGAAGCCCAGTCTACCAGTAAACATATATTCTATTGCGAATCCTCTAAACAGGACTAAAGAGGTAGTCATTCCACCAGCAGAATGAACTCTAACTCCTGGAGGCCTCTTAATGAATAATGCATCTTGATGGCATCTTGATGACTTCCCTTAACCAGTGAGACAAGTGTTTTAGATTGCTGTACCTCTTGCTGGATTTGCAAAACAAACAAAGGACTGCTCACCGTCCACCAGATACAAACAGTATGTCTCTTCTCCTCCCCAGACCTGAATGGGAGTGTATGAAAAGCTGGGATTTCAAATTCCAGACTAGAAAAACCCAGTTTGACGCAGTAGGGACAAAAGCCAGATTGGGGTGTAAAGTTATCTCAGATAAGATATGAACCTGAGGCATGCAGGGTTAATAGAAAGCCTCTTCAGCTCACTGACATGCATCGCTGTGGCGAATGTGAGTAGTAATCTTATATCAGACAGTCTTGATATCCACCCTCTTGAAATTCCATGATGAAATCATCTGCTTAGTAGCCAGACAGGAATGGTACACCCTTGATTCAAAGCCTGAATGTGATCCAGCTCCTCTGATCCAGGAATGTCTAATTGAGCATAAGAACAGAATTATCAGTTTTTCTTATACATGTGGTCTATATGACCACTATAGGCTGTCTACAATGAAAGCATAAAAGCGGAAATCCCAAAATTCATGCGGAGTATGTCAAAAATAGAACTGGGCATCAGTTTTCTGTCAGTTCTGTCGGTGGCCGATTCCAGAATTGCACACAAACTGCATTGCAATCATTTCCCAAAATGTAATTTATGTGGAATTTTTATGAAATCTAAAGAGGAGAAAGTACTGTACCAGGCAGATTAGTGCTGGGCGGTATACCGGTTCATACCGAATACCGGTTTTTATTTTTGTTATGATATGAATTTTGAAAATACAGCAATACCGGTAGCAGATCAAGCTCACAGTTCACGAAATATGAAGACAAATATGTGGGGGTTTATATGAATGCATCTCTGAGAGGAACTGACCGTCTTCAGAAATGTTTCGATGGCATTTTCTTTTCCTCTTACCTCCATATAATGCATATTAAAGTAGTGTTTATAAGTGCAGCTGCTTTGTTTACAGCAGTAACCAAGGAAACTATCACTGCTGTTCCATAAGCGCCACCTGCTGTCAGAGAATAAATCTGCATTTTCATTTTGTGCATGTGTCTTATATATCATATATTTTCACAAATCTGCAGTCAGACCATTCTGTTTTTGCTTTAAATCTTGAAATTATACAATCCAATTCAAATCAAAAACAACTGCTCATGCTGCATGTGTCACGGTACGGGTGTTGAAGAGAGTAGGCAGGATGACGAAGATGACGAAATAAAAGGATATTTAATGATCAAACAACAGGAAATCCAGACAGGGTAGACATCAACATTGACCTTGACATTCACAGGAACATTGACATTGGCATGGACATTCACAATAACCGACAAACTAGACTACAGGAGGCAGGAACTAATATAGGGTGGATAACGAGGGGCAGACAGGTGAGCACAATCAAGATAATTAACTAATAATGAGGACAGGAACAACCAAATAAGGACACAGAGGGAGAAACCACAATTGACAGTCCACAGGGGTGTGACAGCATGTATATAGCACTACTGTTTGCTCAAAATAAATGAACAAATAAATTTCCTGTTGACCAAACTCATATTGAACCATGAACCCAAAACCGAGGTACATACCGAACCTTCTGTGTACACACACTTCTGTGTACCATGACACCCCTAGGCTTACATCTGGTGTCAACGAGGTTTTACAGTCAAGTAACAACCTAATAAAATAAGCTCAAGGCCTCAGAATTGTGTCAGTGACATTCAGAAACATGCCAAATGAGCTTGGATTGGAAACCTAAGTACAAATATTTAGATATTGTGGATGTTGGTGAAATAACTTGCATTGTACCAGAGAAATTAGATCTATTTTAACATTCACAATTTTTCCACTAACCATGGATTCCCTGGCCATAGTGGAGAAGCCCAATAAACAGTGCAGATTTCGACATAGTTGATATGCACACATCAGAGAGAAAGATGCCATGTCCCCAGTCATGCATAAATGTGTCTGTCATGGTGAACTTTGTGGTTCATCCTATCATTGAACCATTGAACCAGACTCTTGTTCCTCCAAATGTACAATGCTCTAGGCATCGAGCTGACACTCATACTTATCTGCATAAATGTCTGCAGGGAGTCAACTTCAGAGAAGTCACCCATCTCTGAAAGTCTCTCGAATAAGTAGTCCTAACTGTACCACTGCTATGGTCAATGCTTAACCAACTCAAAGACGAAAGGACACCAATGTCCTCAGACTGAACTGGTTCAAGCTATTTTGAAATCTTATCCTCTTCTGTTACAACATGGATGCTTGATCCTTGAAGCCCCATGCACACAAACTTTGCCAAAGATAACTTTTCTTTAGGATTATGACCAACCACCGTTCTTGTAAGTATAAAATGATGTAGAAATGTTTTGTCAGAGATTAAGGAGGATGTGTAAATATCCATCCCTGAGATCTGTAGAGATAAATAATTTTTCATATATACAGAATTCAAAGATTCTGAATATCGATACACAAATCCTTGCCATTTGAATTCTGAGATAACTGTTCAAAGCTCCAGATCCAGAACAGGGAAAATGCCTAATTCCTTCTTGATAGAGTTGCCACTTAGATTCACGCTGACCAGGACAAACTTGGGACCAATGAATAGAGGATCTTAATGGGCCCCGTGCCCCAAACAGTGTTCCACCCCCCGACAACAACCCTGCTTCTTGGTCCTCAGACAAGGTGAGAGGGTGAACCCAATCCTCTAAAGGAGTGAAGACCTCACTGACCCATCAATGCGGTCATGCCTCCCGCCTGTAAGGTGTCTTGCCGGAAATCCTGCATAATGACTGCTGTTCTACAATGCACCCTTGGAGAGAGTTTGTGGTAATGAGAGCAAGTAATCAACAGCATTAGCACAGCCTTAGTATGTTTAGTGCCTAAGCACACCAGACAGATGATGAGATCCCATTTGGAGGTAGCCTTCTTTATGGAAGCCATGAATGTTTGGCTCAAACTCACCTATGTGTAACTTTCTAGTAATCCTGAAGATCTTGAATAGGTTGTTCAGGTGTGTTTGATTAAGGTTGCTAAACTCTGTAAGACAGTGGACCTCGAGGGCCAGAGTTGCCCGCCCTTGTCTATGAGGTACACAGAGCAGTATAAACCTTGTTTGTTAAAGCCATAGGAAAAAAAATAAATAACAAAAAGGTATTTTACCCACCTAAAGTTGTCAAACTTGACTGCCAAATATATGGTAACTCTAAATTTTCTCTCTCTGGATGGTTGAACAATGTGTGCTGAGGACATGTGTAGATTGCACAAGTGGGAAAAATGTTAAATTAAATGCTGAGCCTGTGCAGTTTGTCACACATACCCATTTCCGGTTTTGGAGTCTCCACTAATGAGCTGATGAGTTGATTCAGGTGTGCTTGATTAGATAACCATACAGAATGTGCAGAGTTGTGGGGTTAGGAACCAGTGCCTGAGTGCACTGACCAGTGCCCTAAAGGCGTGGTAGTGTATAGGTCCTGTCCACACGAACGCAGAGATCTAAGCCTATAGCTATCCGAACCAATCAGAATGCTACGTGTAACAAAATGTTGAACTAGATTTGTTGCGCCAAGTTCACACGTACTCCGTCTGCAGTGCGTATACAGTATGTGTATGCGGTGCAGAAGCAGCACGGACTCATTTTGCTTTCGCACAGTACGCGTTTGCAGTCCGCTCCTGATCCGCGGCTGTTTACCACAAACACAACATTTATCCATTATTTTGATTTCAAATCCAAACGTTGTTTCTGAAAATGCTTTATCAGTATTGTGATTCTCTTTTATCACAGTACAGTAAAAATACACAATATTTCATAGACATATTCACATTTAAACTCAATAAATATAACTTTAACTACGGTGTAATTACTAAATTTCCGTGCCAATCCATGTTAATTGTTACCGCAAATAATGCGCTGTCACTTTAATTAAGCGCGTGCAGCACAGCAGAAATAGACTCCTTGCTCCTGGAGCGCACTGCCGGACCGCAATCGCATGCAGTGTTAACGCCCTGATCCGTTAACATGGGCGCGGACAAAATACGCACCACAGACGGAGTGTGATTAATCGCACAGCCCTACTCCGGTTGCAGTGTTATCGTGTAGACAGTTTTTGGCTTGTGATGTTGGAGCCTGCGCTGTTATCTCCGCCTACTGGAAACTTTTTCAGGCTTCTGATTGGCCAACATGGGTTTACGGTTGAGATTATATCGCCACCTGTTGGTTTGGCATGCTCTTGACAGTGCTTCATAGCATGCATTTGCGTTTTCATGTGGACAGAGGTTTTTTTAAAAACGGAAGAAGGAAAAACTCTTTGGTGTTTTTAAAAATACTCGTGTACGTGTGGACATGGCCTAAGGCTTCATGAAAGGCCACACAGTTGCATGTACTGTACCATAATGAAATGTTGAGTGAGTTGACCAAAAGAGAACAGAATGTGATCTTAAATTCAAAGCATACAGTTGCAGCAAGAAAAAAGCGATTTAACAATGTTTTAAAACAAACTGGATGTCATCAGCTCTGAATGATGGGGTTTTGTTCTGACTCAAACCAACTCTACTTTCAACTAAGCACTTTAAACATACACATACACAGCCCGTGTTGACCTAGTATGACTATGTGATTGTTCTTTTGATTATTTGAATTCATAACATGTTAATGCATGCTGATGGTTCACATGTTGTCATGTGCTGATGTATGAATTAACTTCATTTCACTGTTAACCTGTGTGCTTAACTTTACACTGCTTGGCCTTATGTGTGTTTTTGTGTGTCGGTGAACTCTTTACTGAAATCTAACTCAACTACACTCATCCACTCTAGACTTCAGATGTCCCCAGTTGGGTTTTTCCTCAGTCGACGAATCACTCAGCTCTAAGAGAGACTGTTTGCCCTCCTTGTGTTCGGAGGCCCATGTTGCTGGGGTGTGTCTGGGATCACTTCTATCTCACTGTAGTTTGTGTGTGTGTTTCAGGTTCCCCTGAGTGCAAGTATGTCTCAAGTGCGTCTCCACTCCTCTAATCCAAACCTATGTGCAGAGTTGGCTGATTTTCAAACCCCGGTCACACGTCTGACTGACAGTATCGACAGCGCCAGTGACTACATCAAACTGCAGGAAGATTTCTGCATAATTGCACAAAAAGGTGAACAAAGCATTCATGCACCACTAGTCACTGGATCTACATTGCCATGGTAAAAAAAACGTGTTTTTAAATTGTGATCTTTTTTTTTTTTTAATGACTCACAAACTCTGAAGTTTTGGGAACTTTCTGAATCTGTGACTGTTACTGTTACTATTAAAAGTATTACAGGTATTACAAACCATAAACAAGGATCGTTTTGATTAGTATGTAGTCAGGACCAATTTTTTTTTGGTTCACTGAGATATGTTGGAAACACTGCTTCAGGCAGTCAGTTACACACGGAAAAACAAAAGGTGCACAGCTGTTCTTGAGTGATAGTGTGCTACAGGTCCAGGCCACAGGCTCTGACCCGGAGACAAAGCCTGGCGGTGTCGTAAAGTACTCAGCATGAACTTGTGTGTTTGTTGCAGTGCACTCTCTTCTGAAGTCTGCCTTCAACACGGTGGCCATAGAGAAAGAGAAGATTAAACAGGTGTTGTTGCAACAGGAGCAGACCGGCCAATCAAATCAGATTATAACCCTCCGCCGCTCCCTGTCACAGGTCAGCTCCGCCCACCACACGCTGTTACTGTTATAATCAACAAAAACAGAGTTCACCTTTTATTTGTGTAGATTCATTGCTTTATGTTTTTGGTAAGACTTTACGTCATGACATTTAATAGACTTTTACACTACTGTTCAAAAGTTTGGAGTCAGTAAGATATTTTTTCAAAGAAAATGCATATTTTTATTCAGTGAGTAAGTGAGTAATGATGCTGAAAATTCAGCTTTGCATCACAGAAATAAATTACATTTTAAATAGTGCTGTCAAACGATTAATCGCGATTAATCGCATCCAAAATAAAAGTTTTTGTTTATATAATATAATATATGTGTGTGCACTGTGTATATTTATTATGTATATATAAATGCACACACATGCATGTATATATTTAAGAAAAATATGTTTTGTTTATATATAAGATATTTATATTTATATATAATATACATTATATGTATATATACATGTAAATATTTTAAAATATATATACATGTATGTTTGTGTATTTATATATACATAATAAATATACACAGTGCACACACATATATTATATAAACAAAAACTTTTATTTTGGATACGATTAATCACGGTTAATCGTTTGACAGCACTAATTAAAAAATTTTTAAAATAGAAAACAATTTTTACTTGTGATAGTAGTGTACAGTATTACTGTTTTTACTGTATTTTGATCAAATAAATGCTGCCTTGGAGAGCAGAAGAGAATTCTTTTAAAAAGCATTAAAAAATCTGACCGACTTTGAACAATAGTGTACATTTAGAATCAGATGAGCCTTCATACACTCGTCTGCTCACTTGTTATGGATGATTCTGTTGTGTAGGCCTTGTCCCAGAATGTTGAGCTCAAGACCCGTCTGAACCGAATCCACTCTGAGTCGGTTCTGTCTGACCAGGTCGTCAGTGTGAACATCATCAGCAGTCCCGACGAGGTCTGATATTCCTCTGCTCTGAACCATTTGTGTTCCTAACAATGAAATGTGTTTCATGTGAATGACACTGCGGCTTGGAAATTGTTTGGAAAATAGGCTGGTCAGGATATCCCTTTTTACAGTTGAGAAGACCCTAAAAAGGCATGGAGCTACAGTGTTGATCATCCATTCACTGTTAAAGCTTGAAATCTCACATCTTACATTTGCTCTTGTTTGGGTCTTTAAAGGATGATTCAGATAGAAAGTCACACTCAGTACTCTGGCCTCATACACTTTGGCTGCAATACAACCAAACAGAGCTATCATTAGACATATTGAGTCCCACGAGATAGCTGCTCGTACTGATCAACCATGTGTTTCACTATTGGCAGCAGACATTGTGTTTCACGGCTTTCACTTTCTACAAGATTTAAATCCTTCAGCTTTTTCTGCTCCTCACATCAGGTTGTATATCTTTGTGCAGTGGCCTTCAGTACAAGTGGCTGCCTGTGATCAATTTTAGCTCTAAAAATACACTGAAGTAACCGTGAAATCCTTTAATCGTGTATGTTTGTGTGTTTTGTAGGCAGGTGACCCGCTCCAAGTGGGCATCCCTCTCTCTCAGCAAGTGTCCAATGAGAGCAGACTCTCCATGTCAGAGTCAGTGTCTGAGTTCTTCGATGCTCAAGAGGTGCTTCTGTCCGCTAGTTCATCAGAGAATGAGGTGAGAACTGTGTGATAATGTTAAAGACATGTGCTGCTGAATGCAGAAGGTGAAGCAAGATCGTTTAATGTTTTTGAAATAAGTTTCTTCTGCTCACCAAGGCTGCATTTATTTGATGAAAATACAGTAAAACAGTGCTATTGTGAAATATTATTGCAATTTAAAATAACTGTTTTCTATTTGAATATATTTTAAAATGTAATTTATAACTGTGATGGCAAAGTTGAAAATGATTATTATCAATGTTGAAAACAGTTGTTCTGTTTAATATTTTTGTGGAAACCATTATACCAAGTTTTTTTTAGGATTCTTTGATTAATTGAAAGTTCAAAAGAAGCCCATTTATTTGAAATAGATGTTTGTGTGTGTAATTTCTACAGTTAATGAAGAAGCAAATGTATTATGTAAATGTTTTATAGAAATAAGTGCAAATGTTGAAACTAGCATTTCTCAGTGACAGAGCAACTCAAATATGAGTTTCAGTACATAATTCCCATATTTTTATGAGTATTATTTCATAGTTTTGATTACTTAAATAATAATAATAATAAAGCATGATTAGATGTGTCCAGACTTGTATGTATTCAAGCTCAAGTGAATCATTGCAATTATCAGTTAGGATTTATCAGCTGTCAGTGTCGTCTATGTAAGCATGATCTGTTTGTTTAAGTGTGTTGTTTATTTGCTCACTGCACTGCAGTAGGTCATTACACACACACACACATTTTACAGTTAGTCAGCACTGCGCAAAATGAAAGACAGTGAGTAATATCATCTCTCTCTCTCTCAGGCCTCTGATGACGAGTCTTACATCAGCGATGTGAGTGATAACATTTCAGAGGACAACGCCAGCGTCACAGATAACGTTTCCAGACAGAGTAAGATCGCTCTCCCTCCTCCTCGTTTTGTTCCGTTCATTAGAGTAGGACGTCGTCCTGATGGGACACATGACCTTTGCGTTACACACACACACACACACACACACACACACAAACATGCACATACTCTCTCCCCCCAATAAACCCAAACACACCCACACAAAAAACAGACACATGTTCTCACAAGCGCATACAGTATATATTATCTACAGTATTTAATGTAAATCAAGTAAAACTATGACTATTGTAATGTGAATATCAAAATATTAAATATATAAAAATAATTTAAATATTTAATTAATAGATTGTTTTGCCTTTCTGTTTTGTTTGGTTTTGTTTGCATTTTGTATTTTGATGTTATTTTCAGTAAAATTTATCACATTTCACATATATTCACATTCACATATATTCACATTACAGTAGTTACACACACACACACACACACACAAACAAACATGCACATGCTCTCTCCCTCCAATAGATCCAAACACACACACACACACATGAACTGAAAGACAAATCCTCTCACAAGCGCATACAGTATATATTATCTACAGTATTTAATGTAAATCAAGTAAAACTATGACTATTGTAATGTGAATATCAAAATATTAAATATATAAAAATAATTTAAATATTTAATTAATAGATTGTTTTGCCTTTCTGTTTTGTTTGGTTTTGTTTGCATTTTGTATTTTGATGTTATTTTCAGTAAAATTTATCACATTTCACATATATTCACATTCACATATATTCACATTACAGTAGTTACATTTTATTTAATTTACGTAAGATACTGTCGAATTACGGGTGTCATGAAAATAATGCCATCATTTCTTTATATGAAATGCAAGTTTTTTTTTTCAATTTTACATTTTGGAAAGTCGTGACTTGGTTTTGTATTAACGAAAGTATCACTCTCATTCTATTGTAGACATTGTTACTTGAGCATAATTGTAGGGACGTTTGAACTATATGTGCTGATCAGGACATTGATCTGACTTTACTGTTTGTGTGTGTGGTCTGAAATAAACAAATAATGATAATAAAATAATCAAAAATAAATAACATATTACTATAATATCACATACATGGTATTATACATCTAATACAATTCTTAGTGGACTGCAATATGAATTAAATTAAATTAAATTGCCCTTTGATGGTGCATTTAGCATGTATAGCAGGGATTTGCGAATTCTCCTTGTCTATTATATAGTGCTGAGTCGTCATCATATATATGAACAGGATTATGAGAATATGATAAATATCAATATAAACACTTATTAATTGGATTACGTTGCACCAAAGCAATGATACTTAAGGAATAAAGCAAATAAATAACTTTATATGCACAATCTTTTATATTTATGGTGACTAGGTCAGTGTAAATTCGGAGAACTCTGAGGAGACAAACAACTCGGTAATTTACTGTGAATAAAGCAGTAATATAGCAGATAACTATATTAAATATCACAAAGAAGTAAATAGTCTTACATTTTAACATGAACGCACACAAAATAGGTAACCTCCAAGATTTTATTTCAGTTAATGTTTATTTTATTTCAAGTATCAAAAATGTTTTTCATGGTTTAGTTTTTAGTTTCAGTTAACTATAATCGTCCAACCCTAGTAACCCATGAGTAACCTTGTGTTTCTCCCTCAGTGCCTAATGGTGATCTGGCCAGTGGTGCGTTTCGTAACGGCAGACGTACATATCTCCCTGCTCCCGCCCCTGACACTTCCAACATTAACCTGTGGAACATCCTGAAGAACAACATCGGGAAAGACCTGTCGAAAGTGTCCATGCCAGTGGAGCTGAATGAGCCCCTGAACACACTGCAGCACATGTGTGAGGAGCTGGAGTACACAGAGCTACTGGATAAAGCAGCTCAAACCGACGACCCCTATGAACGCATGGTACGCTCCAGCTCTTAAAGCGACAATTCACCCTAAATTACAAAGTCTGTCGTCAATTACTCACTTTCATGTTGCTCCAAACCCATAAGACTTTTGTTTAAAACACAAATGAACCTGAGAGATTTCTGTCCCTCAATTAAAAAAACCAAACAAACATTTTGAGTTTTGAAGATGAACGAAAGTAAGTGGAACGACATGACGGTGAGCAAATGATGACATAATCTTAAAGGATCTTAATTTTCAAAAGACATACACCTAATAAGCATTTGTAATTTTTTTTTTTTTTGCAACATGGCAGCTGAAACTGATGAAAGTAGTTTCGCTTTCACAACAAAGCATACAGCGTCTTCAGGACATGGCGGCAGCGGCAACAATACTACAGTGAGAATAAAAGTTACGCCTTCTTTCTTTGCGTGAACATTTGGGCGGCGTTATGCAAATCTTCCCACATAGTGAGGTAGATATGTGGGGGCGTATTAGAACGAGCCGTTTTAGGTAGGTGTGGCTGACTCTGAACTTTTATAAAGAATATCTCTTTGGATTTGAGACTTTAGTCTTTGCAACTTTACAGATCTTTTTTATGCACCAAGAGCTTGTAACACTCCAAAGAGAAAGGAAAAATTTAAATCGCATCATATGACCCCTTTAAAAATAAAGGTTCTTTATTGGCATCAATGTTTCCATGAAGAATCTTTAACATCTCTGGAATCTTTACATTCCACAAAAAGGTTCTTTATAGTGGAAAAAGGTTCTTTAGATTTTCAAAATGTTCTACACATTAAGGTTTAAAAAATGTTCACTGAAAGGTTCTTTGGGGAACCTAAAATGGTTCTTCTATGCCGTCACTGTGAAAAACCCTTTTGAGACCTTTATTTTTAAGAGTGTAGCTAGTTTCTGAACCAAGATAGTCTGTCCGCTATAACAAGCTTGAGCACAGTGGTTCACCAGATCAAAATCAAGTTTACCAGTCAGTAGACTAGCTGGTCCACCATCAAGACCAGACTGTTAAGATTGAAACCGATAATAACCTAAATAACCAGCACAGACCAGCCAAGTAAAACCAGCTACATATAGTTTTACCTTGATTTTCCAGCAGGGACTGAGGCGAGACAGAAACATGCCCACATACACGAATGTTCATGCACTCACCTACATACATAGCGATATAAGGGGAGCTGTTAGGTGGCTTGTGGAAGGGTGAACAGGGCCTGAAGCAGGAACACATGTCCCTTGTGGACAGGGAGGTGGGCATTTACCTCTGGCCTCATTAAGTCTTTTTAATGTAGCCTAGTTTCAGTGTCCACACACAATGACGCACACTAACACCTTGGAGCACGCATTCTCCCCACTGCAGCGCTACTGATACCGTAGTAATGATGCTGCAGTGTAGGCGGCTGTCTGCTGGACTGTTTTAGACTTAGTGCTGCACATTTACTGTGAATGAATCCCTAGAACATTCTGTGATTCTCTCCGCAAATCAAACAAAAAATAGAAATAAGAAATCATATTTTGAATATAGATACTAAATGTTCTTTAGTTGTCAATATTTTTTACAGTACTTTTTTTTTTACAGTGCAATACAGTTAAGAGCCCTAATTTTCATTATGGCAAAGCATTTAAAGTTTTAGTTTGTGTTTCTAATTATTCTCTGTGATTTGAACTAGATTCTCCTTACTGTAATACCTGTAATCTGTAATACCATTTTTTTAAATAATTAATGTTCTAATCAGCATACTATCATGATGTAATTTTCCATTTAAATAAGATGAATAAATCATTATTTATTAATAAATAAGATGAATAAATAAATAATAATAATAATAATTCTTAACTGTCATAAAATAATAATAATAATAATAATTATTATTATTATTATTATTATTATTATTATTATTGTCATCATCATGAATTATTACAATTATTACATATCTCCAGGGTAATGTGATTTATCCATTTACTGAAAAAAGTGAGTACTTTTTTCTATAATATTTAATGTTTTTAATCCGCTTTAACAGCTTATGCTATCATGATGTATAACTATTTTGCAATTTAAATAATATTTATTATTATAAATAATTCTTAGCTGTCATGAAAATAATGTCACAAAGCACTAAAAGTAAAAAGAAGTATTATTATTATTATTATCATAAATGATCAAAGTAATTAGACTTTTTTGGGGTGATGTGATTTATTTTCCAGAAAAAAAACTATACATTTTTTCTATAATTTTTTCTATAATTATTAATGTTTTTAATCAGCAAATACTACAATGACACATACTGTAAATACTTTGCCGTTTAAATAAGATGTTTTAATAATTATTATCATCATCATCATCATATAACTATTATTATTATTAATGATTACATTAATGAGACTTTTTTAAGGGTAATTAATTTTCCTGAAAATAGTGTCACAATGCACACACAAAAAAGATTTAGATTTGACCTGAAACCATGCACACTGTGTTTGTGTGGATGTAATGCTCTCTTAAGGCACATTTATCCCATTATCTTGTTTCAGTAAGCACTGCTCTGTCTGTATAAAGAGCACACAGTCTATCTGGACTCCATGTTTTCAGCAGTAATGAGTGTATTGACAGGTTGCTTTGTTTGTGTGTGCAGGCAATCGTTGCCGCGTTTGCAGTTTCAGGATATTCCTCCACATATTATAGAGCGGGCAGCAAACCCTTTAACCCCCTTCTGGGGGAAACGTATGAATGTATCCGTGAAGACAAAGGATTCTGCTTCTTTTCTGAACAGGTACGAATTAATGTATCTCTCTCTCACACATATACACACACACACACACACACTAGCTGCAGTATCTGTTCCAAGTGAGTTCCTGTCCTTCACTGTAGCACTGCACCACTTTCAGTGTCAGTGTGTGTGTTTGTGGGAGGCAAAGCCATCAATAGTCCTCTGGCGAAGGTTCTTCCTGCATGACTTGAAAAAGGTCTTTGTCAGCAGTGAACTTTCCCACAGGCTGTGTGACTGACAAGTCAAGTCAAATCACCTTTATTTATAAAGCACTTTATACAATACAGATTGTCAAAGCAGCTTTACAGTGTTAAACAGGAAAAAATGTCTGCTGATAATGCAAGAGGACAATAGAAAACAGTCAGTTGATCAGTTAAAGTCAGTTCATTGTTGATTCAGTGATGTCATCGTCCAGCTCAGTTCAGGT